AGTTCGTTGGGGTAGAAGCTGCGTTCGAATGTTACCTTGGATGTGCACTGACAGGGTTCTTTACTTCCAGGTCCCCTCTTAACAGCCCTCCCCATTCTCTCCATGCAACATATAGATTGCTAGCCGATAGTACCTAGGTACTATTGAGGCTCGACAACCGCACTCTATCAGTGGAAGAGATGCCTAGGTAGCAGAGCACTAATTGAAGGATTGGTGTTTTTGCGCGCGCGGTACAGCAGCTCGCCTGTCGACAGACACGGAATCTCATTATCAAATGGCGTTAGTAGCTGCGGCTCGCAGCTCTTTGTCTTCTTCGGATCTGAGGCGGCGTAAAAGAAGCATTGCCGTGCGGGTGGGGGAACAGCAACGGCACGGGCCTGACCCTCCCGAGGTCTTGATGGAAATTAGCCCGGGCCTTTAACCTCATTAGGGTCTTGGCGCAGTATTACCGCTAACCGCTCTTCGCCGTCGCTTCAATCATCACTCCACCTTCCTTCCGGGCTTCGCGCTCGAGCTTCATTCATCACTTCTCGCATCGCAAGGAATTTAGGATGTGTACATGAACAGATTTGGAGTCTACATCGAAGTCAGGTCGCCTACTTCGCATGTTCTCACTCATGGATGTTAATGTAGGCTGCAGACCTGTTCAATCTTTTCCTACGTTGACGGTACTCTACTGCTTTCATCAACCTCGCTTCAAGCCGCGCGCGGCGGCGGGCGCCCAGCCGCTCGGTTCCTGTGGATGCACACCCAAGTCACACTCGAGCGATGCGACCTGCCTTTCGCCATCACGCCCACCCTGGTAGGCCGCGTAGGTGGGCATCTATGGCCTTACTGAGACCTTTGCATCGTCCATGATACTCTTGTGCAAGCCATACAGTAAGTTTGCTTTGAGTAGCATCATATACTTTACGCCTCGGCTAATTGACCTCTGACAGCTATCACTCAGTATAAAGGAAGGAACAGAGATGAGGCCTCGAAGGAGTATCTCGCAGGCGACACCGCCTACCGCCATGTCCCTTATAAGTCTCTCTGACGTGATCATCGAAGTCGGCACGGGCTCTGAGCAATATCATTCCTACTGCGCCTCATAGTCGCGTATGAGATGAGGCTCCTAAGAGCGGCGGCGACTCTCTTATCATAGGCACCTGTTTTATGCGAGCAGGGTACTGCCCGCCAACTCCTATGTTGGCTATCAGCGAGAAGGATTTTGCTCCTGCCGTGCCTGCACGAATGAACGCCCGAATGAACCCAGTGAGCTGGTCGTGAGGAAGGACATTTAGTATGAGTGATCTTAGACGTCAGCGTTTCGGTCGTGCCAACTCCAACACTACTTCGTCGCTCTATCATGGCTGGCACGATTCAACCCATAGCCGCACTCACGGCCGAAGACCATGGCCCGATCAACACGATTGTCTCCATCGTTCTTCCAGTTACAAGTATCCTCATCGCAACTGTCCGCATGGCAATGCGGCGGCAAAAGTTCCATCAGCTCGAGTCTGATGACATCGTGTTTGGTGCAGGACTTGTAAGAATTCATATCTCAACTTCCTGTACTCACTTTGCTAACCAAGCTCAGTGTTTTGGTGTCTTCACGTCCATCCTGTCTCACTTCTGCGTCCGAGCAGGCCTGGGCAGACACCAGGATACGCTTGATGACAAGCAAACGGCCCATTACTTCAAGGTAAACAGTTGTATTAGGGGCTGCGGACTTTACTAAACATATACTTATAGCTTTTTTGGACCGCACAAATCTCGGGCGTCATTGCTCTCGCTCTCGCTAAACTATCGCTCGTTGTTCTGTTCCAACGCATCGCTCCAAAACAAGTCGGGCCTAAAGCTACCAGATGGCTTATACCTATGGTCGCTGTCTACACACTACTCTCTCTCTTTCTGATCGCCTTCCAATGCCAGCTACCACAACCTTGGATACTTAGTCCGAAGACTTGCTCTACACATGGCAACGTGTACTATCCGATCACGATCTTTAACATATTAAGCGACACTATACTTGCTTTCTGGATCTTTCCACTTATCCGGGGTGTTCAAATGAAAGCCCATACCAAATCCATTGTATTTTGGCTGTTCGGATCGCGTTTACTCATTTGCGTCGTGGATATTGGACGAATGGTAGTCATTCACAAAGCTCTTCAGCTAGAGGATCAAACACGTAAGGAGCCATGTTCTCATCAGAGCATATCGCTAATCACATCCCAGGATCGCAATTGAGATGGGCCGTAATGGATCAAATCGTTGTTCACCTTTCGATCAATCACGCTACACTACCTCGTATCCAGACCTTCCTCTCGCATCTACAAATCGGCGGTATGAGCACGCATATGGGAGCAAGTCGGGGTGGTATACGGACGACGTCCAAGGGTAGAAGCAGCGCCGCCAAAACCACTCAGGACGACTTGAAAGTGGGGCGGACCTCCGATAAAGCTTGGAACTCATTATGCAACCGTTTCACCGGGAGTGTCAACAGAACGCCTAGCATCTCTGAAGAGCCTCTTCGTCATCAGCACGGCATTGAGCTATCCACAATCGTATACTCCGGGAAGGACGACGCTACACACAGGAATGTGGAGCAGAGTCGATCAGCAGCGACATCGTTATCGAGCTCTAGGGAGGGCTTGACTAGAGAAGACATCGCAGGCTCGCTAGGGGGTGTGAGGGTGCAAAAGGAGTTTCATGTGGTTTATGACCAAATGTGATACGCAGCCTGAGTGACGCGTTTCAAAAGGCTCTCGCATCATATGCATTTATCAAAATATCACGATTTCTCCGTCCGCTTCATGACCAAAAGAAATGACCAACAGAGATGATCTCGCAAGCGACACTTCAAGTATGAGTCGAGATGGCCTATCTAGGGTTTTGCGCAGCGGAGACATTATACTCGCGACGACCAAACAGGAACGTACGTCCCCTTCCATCCAGTCCACATCTTCGCCTCATCCGCACCAGCTACGGGCTCTGCAATCTCTACAAGATTTGCATCGAGTACATCCCGACAGTCATCTTGCTCCGCATTCCTAGCCCAATCAATGGGCTTCTCTCCACCCCTGTCAAGCGCATCTTTGTTCGCCCCATAATGGAGCAGCAGCTTGACACAGTCCACATAGCCTTCTGCTGAAGCAGTATGCAGTGGACTAACATTGTCAAAATCGCATTTGTTGACGTCCGCACCCGCCTCTAATAGTGCGCGAATGACCGACAGTTGGTCACGACACACGGCTCCATGCAGCGCAGTACCTCCGTATCGACTTCCTGGGACGTTCAAGTCTACTCCTTGGTGGATGATATGCTGACATACGTGGAGCAACCCGAAAGATGCTGCATAGTACAAAGCGGTTGCATGCTTTGGGTATGAAGACCAACTACTGCCGGCCGAGGAAGACCCGGCGTTCAAAGTTTGGATCCAGGACATGAACGCTTCGTGATTGGACGGAGAAAAGAACGCAAGAACCTTTTCTTCATGCTGGATTGATGCTTTCTCTGGAGTTTCAGCTGCCCGTAGATAGTATGTCCAGGATGTGGTCGCATGGCGTAGGAAAGGGTAGTGTTCCAAGCGTGCAGCGAAATCGTCCTTAGATGTTGAAGGGCCGCTCTGAAAGCTCCGGAAAGAGAGATAGGTAAGGCAGTCCAAAGCAAGTTCGCGATAGCTTGCTGTTCGATTGAGCGCAAAGCCTGTCGCAGGGCCGTTGCGAATGTCTTGTGAAAGCAGATAGTCTTTCACAGAAAGGTGAGCGAGACGAACATGGCCTGGCCCATTCGTTGAGACTGTGATTAGACTGCCGCAAACAGCAATTATCTCTTCTGCGCTGCTTAGGCACGAGTCTTCATCCAGCTCTTCGCAGTCATGTTCAATAGCGATAGCAGAGTGAAGCTCCTCTAGTGTGACTGGCAACACCGTGAACGAGAGCCAAAGTAGGACTTTGCGAACGATGGGTGTATCAGCGGCGGAAACTCTCATTAGTATGCTTTCATATATCTGTCCGAGCTCCTGTGGGAGGTGCTGGAGAGTGGTCCGGATATCGCGGACGGTTCGAAGCGCAGATACTTGATCAAGACTGCACTGAACCAATCGAAACCTGTAGTGTTACTATCATGTGACGCAAGTTCATGAAATAGGCACTTACATTCCACAAGATCTTCCATGTAAACATACACTAATCTCATCCCTCACAGATGGTTTCAGTCGTAACAAACTTCGATCAGTTTGTAGTCTGTGGTCGATATACGTTTTGATGTCTTCATCGACCTCTCTTGTCCAGCCTTCCATCTGAATGAGCTCGAATGAAGCCAGTGCATCCTGGATATCGAGCTCATGCCGACTCGTAAGGAAGATGCTAATATTCTTTCCCAGGCTCTGGAGATAAGCCATGGATGACAATAACTCCTTCCGCTGAACGCATTCGTCAATCGCATCGACTAGCAAGATGATTCTTCTCGACGCGGAAAGCAAACATAGCATATCTCTCAGCAAGGCCATGGATGGCCGTTTGTTCGAATGGCGACTATGATCAAAAGCAGCCTCTAACTCGTCATAGCTGGCTCCGGTTTGGGAACATATCTGCGCGACCAAAGAGCCTAGAATATTAGTGGGGTCATGTGCTTCGGCCTTGCGGAAGTCGCAATAGAAGAACGCCGCCAACGTGGGTTGCGGCAAAGAAGGCAATAAACTCTCGAGAGACTGGATGACGTTTGCGCTTCGGTCAAGTTAGATGTTGCATACTCGAGAGTTCAACACATACTCACAAAAGGATAGTTTTGCCAGACCCAGCTAAGCGAAGATGTCAGCACGGCCACTTCTGATGTCACAACGTTACATACGAAAGCCGCTCAGCCATAGTCCAGCATTGCCAGAGACAGACCAGGCTTGAAACACCTTCGACTCGATGAACCAGCCGCCTGTTCCAGTTTTCCTTGCAGAAGCGGCTGCTTCATGGCTCTCCCACGGCGTCACTGGAGCAAGCCAATGTGTAAGAGCTCGAGATCGATCATCTGTGCGCATCAGCTGCTGAAAGTTGCACGTTATAAAGAGGCATACCTAGTTCTGCGCTCTCTATCCTAGTGAGGAGCTTGGAAACATTGCCATGCACATGGGCCGTGGTCTCGTTCAGAGAGATGGTCATCTTCCTGATGTCAAGGAGCAGAGCTCTACAAGGCTTGATGAGCTGAGTCTGAGATGAGTGATGAAGTGGGGGCAGCCTACGTCTCATCTGCGGTCAACGCTAGAAGTATAGTGCTTTTGCACCGCTCTATTCTTTCTAGACAAACTTTCGCGTCACCTTCTTTCAGCTGCCAGCCCATAACCTGGGCGAACACTCGCGCTTTCGCCAACAGAGTTGACCTTCCAGAAGTCTGCTTGCCGGAGCTGATCTTCTTCTCTAGATCCAATAGCTCTTGGAGGCAGCGACTTAACGGGCTGGTCTCGGACTCGCATAGTAGTTGGAATGTACGGAAACGTGCTGTGTCGGACTCTTTTGATGTGTCGAGTGCGCGGCAGACCTGTTCTAAGCTCTCCAACACATTTCGAAGGTCTCTTATCTCGTCGATGGTTCTGGTGAGGGACCAAGGACTCTGCTTGAGAGCTGAACGGACTTCGTAGCATATTGTTATAATGGAGCTGGCGACCTGTAATACCGTAATCACGTTTGCGGTAACACTGAGAGGGTCCATAGTCGTTCAATGGCAATGCTTTGCTCAGCGACGATCACGGAAGGCCTATATGAGCTCGGTGGCGTTGCACCTGTTGTGGCGCAGTCCAACAACGTGCTAACCTCCAGGCTGAGCGAGGCATCATATCAGAAAGACACTTTCTTGCTATAGACACCAAGGCTGAAAGAGCCTTAGGCTGCAGTACTTGCATCGCCGACACTGCCAAGGCGCCAGGCGCGCGTAGTGGAGTATGCATGGGACAGCCGTTCCGTCGTCGAGTGCACACCGATCAGCGATCGAATGTCGAACATACAGCGAAGCTTGTATGACGTCGCGCATCGTTTGCGCAGGCTGGTGGATGCGCCATCAAGCGCGCAATAGTTGAAACGGGCAGGAAGTGTTGGTGCACTGCCCGCGAAGACCACGCGAAAGAAGCCGGAGCGCACGATGCAGATCGCAATTACCCACATCTGCGGGGGCCATTCCGCATCTACCCACCTGCGTATCGCGAACAGACACACGTTGCAAAGGCGAACATGTCAACTGCACCCACTTCGTACTGTCTATGGATACAGCTCCACTTAGCTAATCTTTTGAGACCTGCTCTCATACCTGGTCTCGCTCACATGTCTAGGTGCTTTGCCGCCAATGCTGAAAAATCGCAATCATCTTCCCAGCTACCGCCTGCATGGCTGGAAGGTTGCATTGCCCAGGCGGTTTCGATAAGCCTCTTAGAACGGAACGGGCCTGATAAACCCAGGATCAACGCCACCTGGGCATGGATTCATCAGCTGGCTCAGCTCGATATGACCTCGGAAAGAGGAAAGCTCTGGTGATCATGCCGTCACATGCATGACTTTTATCCATCACCTACAGGCCGGCAGATACTCGAGAGCAGATCAGACCTTATAGCTGCGTGCGCACAAAGCCAAAATATGAAATTTCACGACCGGAATCATGTCATGGATATGCGCAGAGCCTGGAAAGTATCCAACTAGATTGTGGACAGATTATTGATCTGGACTGGGTAGCAACTTTGACTTTCTCTGAGCAGACTACATCCGACGCGAGTATGCAGCAACTGTACGGTCACCCTCGTCTGGTGAAGCGAGGGATGGGAGAGCTGCAACGATATCCAATCAGCTCCACACCACCTTCCCGTGTGCCTCCCCCTTTGGCAAGCTTGCGAAGTGCATAATATCTGTTGAGATCCTGCTCCGCTCTTGGTACCTGGCATGACCTAGATCCACATCTTTTGCACGAGCGAATACGCATTCTCTAAGAATGACACCGTCTAACAAAAGAGTCCATGATGGTGGTAAAACGAACAGCAATAAGAAAGCACACAAGCGTTCCAAGCTGGATGACGATTCTCAAGACCATGTGGACACGATGGCGGGTGCGGACGAACAAGACAATGAGACAGCTTATCAGGTGAGCTGACTTCGCCTTTGTATCGCTAGTTGTCAATGTCTCATCGATAATCTGACCGCCCTAGACTCCAAACAAGGCATCAGACTCCCGCGACCCACGCGATACGCGTCAACGACCAAGACTAAATCGCCATGACTCGCGACTATCGGCTATCTTTGCTCCGAAAGCGACCGGCATCGGTGAAGCAAAAGCTTCCTCTCCACCACAAAAGGTCGGGACCTCTTTGCCAAAATTGAGGAGGTATCAGAGGATTCAGCCGACTGCAGTCAAGAGCATAGAAAACCAAGGTATTCGAAACCCTGCCGGTGGTGAGAAGCCCACTAAGACGAAGTCACGGATGCTGAACGCCCTCAAAAAGCTCGAAGACACATACGAAAACTCATCCATTGGGTCTAAGCAGGTCCGCATGCTTATCGTCAAGCCAGGACAAGAATATGACGACATCAACGCAATCCTACAGGTCGTTGATGAAGATCAACTTGGGAACGATGATTATTGCTATGAAGCTCTCTCGTATCACTGGGGCTAGACATTGGCCCCACAGCTGCACCACGGCTTGTAACACTCCCCGTCTTGGATTCTAGCTGCAGAGGACGGGTCTTATGGAGCGGGCGAGGCAGTATTCAGGGGCCGCAAAGCCGGTGACAGCCTTGTAGGCGGTGTACAACGCTTCTGGGCGCAGTACTCAGATCGTTCAATTCGGGGACGGCGATGCTCGAGAGTGGTCACCAAGTCCCAAGTCAGGTCCACGGCTCTCCGTCTTCCCACAAGACAATTCGTTGACAGTATCTGGCTATCTTATCGGGACAGTGAATTGGAGCTCACCTCCGATACGATCCAGCCTTATTCCGCAACGAGGCCTGGAAAAGCTGGGATGGACTTACCGAGATGCGTCGGCAAACAAGCCAGCGCCCGATCAACTTCGCCGTACTTTGGTCGCCGGTCGTGGACCCAACGGCTCAGACGTACCGACGTATTACTCTCGAGCTTGCAACTACTGCCTACTTAACGAGACTCCTAACGGCGATATTGATACGACCGACCTATTGCGCGCAGATGAATCTGTATCACCGCAGAGCATTGTCAAAGACTACTTGGAGCATGTCCGAGCGGTGACCTCCAACAGGGTAATCCTTCAAGGGAGGTCGACTATTCCAGCCGGCTCGCCACCTTCGCACTCAATCCCGACATCGCCAATTTCACCAACTTCGGTGAGAACTTCCGAGGATCTCGTAGGACTCGGCCCGTTAGACACCACAAAGGACGATGTCATTGCGATCTTATATGGGTGCAGCGTACCTGTCATTCTTCGTCGGTCAGGTAGCTATAATCGACCACAGGGGTACAGATTTCTTGGGGAAGCCTACATCGATGGTAAAATGGATGCGGAGTGCACGTCGGAAGGGCATGAGTTGATGGAATTTGTGTTGCACTGAAGGCAACCATGACACTCTCCCAGGTGCGCTTGTAAGAGTCAAGAACATATTATCACTTTCATACCGCAGTTCACGTAGTATTCCAACCGCAACACAAGATCAAACCTGTGGTATACAGCCTTGTTCGAGTACAAACTACATCATGCCAGATCCTAGCGCCTGCTCTCCATTTGCTGCATTTATAGCATTAAGTGCCATGACCGCCGCGAACTGAACAACTCTCGAGTGGTTTAATACCTGTAGCAACCGCGCTTTCCACTCCGACCACCGCTCCAAACTCATCGCTTCACCACCCAACGCATATGTTTTCTCCCCTTCTTCTGCGCCCTGTCGAAACCGCTTCCCACACCCACGGAGCCACGCCGCCGCAGCCGGCACCTCGAAATCCAGCAGCGCGTCTTTCTTCAGAGAATCCTCAATGACTTCATATCCCCAGTCAATAGGAATACCCGCAAGCCCCTCGAATACCAACCGCGCTTCAACCTCAGCCCTTCTCACGTGCTCTTTGCGTAATACGTCACGTTGTGGCCCACTCGCCTTCTCCGCATCCATTTTCCAGCTTCCGGATCGATAACCGATGTCGTACCATCGATTGGCAAAATATGGGAAGCCTTTCCAAAGCTTCGCTTGGGGCCTCTGCGCTGGCTCGACAGCCTCAAAGTCGGGTTCTTCGAGCTTCTCAATGGCGCGCAGTAGAGATATCAAGGGCTCTTCACGGCTGGGACTATCGCCGGGTTGGTCTACAAGAGCGTCGATTAGGAGGACTTGTAGACGAGCTATATCGTTTTTAGGGGAGGCTGAAGTTACTACCTGGCGCGTGATAGTCTGAGCTGCTTCCGCTGCGGTGGTCTTTTCATATAGGTAGTTTTTCAGAGCCTCTACTTCCTGAGGATGATTTTCCTGTTCGGGGGCAAGTTTGGAAGTAAACCAATCGTCCGACATGATGTTGTGCGTTGATATTGGATATGTGTCGATACAGCGAATAGAACAAGCTGTCTTTGGAGTGTGGTGTTGTATGGGAAGTCTGTCTCACAGCCCTCCAACAACTTATACCTAGGTATGGTTGTCACGAGTTATATTGGGTACTCTGACGTCACACACACACGTACCTGTGAGAATTTCGGAAGCTAGATCAGAGCGCATGTTGGACTCTAATACACCACTTTGCCCACGATGGAACAGAAACTTGAGCCTCTGCAGATGAAGGCGTTATGTTGGCGAATCCACGGGTGCTGGTGACACGGAGTTACCTAGGTAACGTTAATTCCCGCATTCTCACAAAGTCACTGCGACCGGTGAGGATAGCAGTACAGTAAGCACGGGGATATATTCAGAAGATGAGGCTGAGCAGACCATTGGCGTTGCAGGATAGGCACTCTACCTAAGTTCCTAGGCAGACTACAGCTGGGCATGAACCAAGATGCGGCCCGCTCGCTTCTGCTCGGCCCCCGCGACCCAACACGCGGCGAATGCTCGAGATGCATTTCCCTACCTGGCAAATGTCTGGCGCGGCTGGGGCGCAGTTCGAGCGGGAAGGGGAAAGTGTGGCGGAGTTCCAGGTCCGAGATAAGATCATACCTAGGTAGGTAACAATTAAAACCCCATGGGCGTTCAGATGCTTTGTGATGCCACTACAACGCGACACAAGATTCACTATTCATACGCCATGTATGAATCTCCGTATAGGGAAGAGCGTTCGGGCGTGGGTGTCGACCCTGGAGGGATCCGGCTATTTGAAAGGTGCGAGCTGGGCACGTGGCTATGACGTCATTGCAGCCTTGTAATTGTTGCTAACCAGCGTAGGGAGCCCACGGACGAGCAAAACAGTGACTACAGCATTGATACTATTCGTGAATCACGTACTAGCTCAACTAAACCGGAGAGCTTTGCCACGAGCAATGGAAATGAATCGCACGACGACGACTTCTTGCTTTTAACCCGATCCGCGGTGTTTCAGCCTCGGCGGCCGGCCAGGCGACCATTTTTGACGGGATGGCGACCCGGAGCAGTCTTGTCGCTCGTAGGAGCGATAATAGTCACCATCTTCAACATCGTCGTCACAATATGGGTATGGAAGAACCCTGAAAACGTCATTGAAAGAACCATCGGAACATTGAGCATTGGTAACTGCGGACGGACAAGAAGATTGAACGTCAGAATTCATCTACTCGTCAACATCCTCAGCACACTACTGTTATGCGCAAGCAACTATTGCATGCAGGTCCTCAGCGCCCCCAATAGGGTAGAGCTTGACCGGGCTCATGCGAAACGAGTATGGCTGCACATCGGGGTACCAAACTTGCGCAACTTCAGACACATTGGACGCAGTAGATTAGCCGTCTGGCTTCTACTGCTCTGCACCTCTGTGCCACTCCACCTGTTTTTCAATTCAGTGGTCTTCGCCAAACTTCAGGCCAACAACTACGCGGTCCTTCCTATCACAGATGATTGGTTCCATGGAGCGCCATATGACACGTCCAACTTTAAGAACCTCACGAAAGGTATTACCGAGGACATGGTGCTAGAGATGGACAAATATCGGCCCAATCTTTCTGATGTCGTCTATCTAAGAAAGGACGGCACGATGCCGAGATACAAGAATATCAGCACGTCGGATTGCTTTACCCAGTACGACAACCATTACGTCTCTGGAGTGGGTAACGTTTATCTGGTGCAAGACTACCCTACAGTGTGGCGGAATAACACAACGTGGCAACTGTGGCGTAACCCCAACACGTCGTATTTTGTTTGGGATGACATTAATTCCCCGTCAGATCGTATAGACCGGAAATCGCCGCACAAACTCGACCTTACGCCCACAACGCAGAGACTACCCGAAATAGCCTCACCAGAGATTTATCCATCGAACACGTGGCGCTGTCCTTCCCATGTAGTCAAGGGCTGCGATGTTCGGAGTCGCTATGAAGTGCCGCACAATCGGTCAGATTGGCGACCTTACGGCAATCGAATCAATCATTGCATAGTCGAGCAAGTCGAAGAATTCTGTAAACTACAGTTCAGCTTCTCTATCGCACTGGCTGTCATACTTTCAAACATTGTCAAGGTGGCCTGTATAGCTGCGACGCTCTTCATCTGTGGAGACCATGCTCCTCTTGTTACGGTGGGCGATGTAGTGGCGACATATCTCGATGAGCCAGATCCGACAACCCGCAATCGCTGTCTATATTCCAGACAGCTTATCGAGTCTCTTTGGGAAAAAGAGGGTAAGCCCCAACAACCAGCGCGGAAATCCATTCCCCAAAGATACAATGCAAAAGAGGAGAGGTGGAGGAAGGCTCCTAGTGAGAGCAGATGGATCTGGACATACGCAACGTAAGTCAGCAGACCTTGACCCACGATCTAAGCTTATCATGCCCGGGCCAGTTATTTCGCCGTCTTCGTTTTCGGCATTCCAAGTCTTTACTATTCTCTCGTGGGTATGCCCTCGGACCCACGCGAACTATGGCAAATTGGTTTTGGCACCGTAAACGGCGCCAACCTGTTCAGCTCCAACCTTCCGCTCGTAGGTAGTATTATGCTTGCAAACACACCACAAGTACTACTGTCCTACTTTTACCTAGCCTTTAACGCACTTTATACGAACATGCTTGTCGCACACGAATGGGCCTCGTATCTGAACGAGCGCAAACCCCTTCGGGTCACCTCTCCGCGTGGAGGACAGCGAGATACCCATTGGCTTAATGTGCCGTTTCGATATGCGATCCCCATGACGATTATCTCTGGCCTCTTCCATTGGCTCGCTTCCCAGAGTGTCTTCATGGTCCGCATTTCCATCACGGATCAAACGCGACAACCTGTAAACCAGATCTCGACAGTCGGATATTCGCCAATGGCCATAATCTTGACGCTTGTCATCGCGACCATCATCGCAGGTTTCGGGGCAGTGCTCCCGTGTTTCAAATACCCTGCTGGTATTCCTCTGGCTGCAAGCTGCTCCGTGGCTATTAGCGCTGCATGCCATCCTCCTATGGTGGACCAGGATGCGAGCCTGCGGCCTGTGCAGTGGGGTGCTTCTACACATTCAGGGTGGGACAGCTATCGCCAGGAGACAGTTGGTCATTGTAGCTTCTCG